CTGCACAGCCACTGCCTCCTTAGCACAGTGGGCAGATTAGTCTCATAATCTGAAACAGCTTCTGCACAACAAAAGAAACGACCAACAGAGTGAAGAGACAACCTACAAAATGGGAAAAAAAAGTTGTCAGCTATTCCTCAGGTGACTAATATCTAGAATTTATAAAGAAAAGAAAAAAATTATCCTCCCTCTAAATAAAACACCCAATTGAAATATTGGCAAGTGAAATGAACAGATAGTTCTGAGGAAAAGATAAACACATGAAAGAATGTTCAGCATCTCTGGCTATTAGAGAAATATAAATTAAAATCTTGAAAACAACCCAAATGCCCATCTACTGAAGAGTGGATAAAAAAGAGGTGATATTTTTATACAATGGAGTATTACGCAGCTATAAAGAAAGATAAATTTGAGGCTTTTATAGTTAAATGGATGCAACCAGAGACCATACTCATAAGTGAAATATATCAGACCCACATCTGTAAACATCATATTGTCTCCCTAGTGTAAGAATCTGAAAAAGTAAATAAAATCTGAAAGGTTCAATAGATAATGTGAAAGGGAAAGAAACTACTCAAAAGGAAAGAACAACTGGGATGAGGGAAAGGAGAAAGAAAAGAAAGAAGGGAAAAATATATATATACACAAGGCAACTAAGATAATTTTATTACTAATTTTATTGGTTTATTGAAAGGAACAGTTAATGTTTTATTGTTTGATCAGTCTTACATACGTATGTTTGGTAATCTGAGCAACTATTTTGAAGATAATAATATGTAATACAGCAACCACTGTTAATTTCCTATCAGCTTGTATTGAAATTCTGCATGGCTTTTATTGTTTTGTGTTGTTTTTTTTGTCTTCATTTTTGTTATTGCTTTTGTTCTTTTCTCTTTAAAATAAAAAAAAGAAATACAGATTAAAAGAACACTGAGATTCCACCTTATTCCAGAAAGAATGGCTACCGTCAAGAAATCAAATAATAAATACTAGCAAGGAAAAAAAAAGAATCCTTCTTCATTGTTGGTGCAAATGTAAATTAGCACAACCACTATGGAAATAACATGGAGATTCTTCAAAAAGGAAAACCAGAAATCCCATTTGACCCAGCTGTTCCCCTTCTAGATATCTTGCCAGAAGAGTTAAAGATATCACATTATAGAAATATATACATACCCAATGTTTATAGCAGAACAATTTATAATAGCTATGTCTTGGAAGGAGCCCATCTATCCATCAACAGATGAATGGATAAAGAAAGTATGGTATTTATATACAATGGAATACTATTCTGCCATAAAGATAAATGAACTCGAGCCATTTGTAGGAAAACGTGTGCACCTTGATGCCATAAAGTTAGGTTAAATCAGACACACAAGCATAAATACTGCAGTTTCTCTTATATGAGAAACCAAAATATGAACAAATTAAATACCAAAATAACAGAAATAGATTAAAGGAAACACCAAGATAGACAATCACTAGTATGATCAATGAATCTAATGCTGAGAAAAATAAAGGGGAGTGGTGAGGGAAGGAGGAGAACAAAGGGAACTGAAGTGTGCTATGTACCAATTCCCTACAGTGAATGTAATCATTGTGTACTACAAACATGTACTACTAGAAGTCAACAAAATATTAAAGAAAATATAGTTACGGGGACCAATAGATGGAGAGAAGAGAGAGGAGATGGGGTTGTAAAAAGAATTAAGCTATATTATGTACATGTACCAACTCCCCATAATGAATGCAACCATTATGTATTGCAAACAAGTACTAATAAAAATAAAAATTAAAATAGATCTAGTTCAGTGACACACATCAGGATATAGTTTTTTACCCAAGAGTTATCTAGCAATGTTTGGTGACACTTTCAGTTGTGCACAAGTAGGGGAGCTACTGGCATCTTGTGGATTGCAGCTAGAGATGCTGTTAATGGTCCTACAGTGCTCAGGGTATCCCTTACAACAAAGAGCTGTCAACTGAAGATGTAATTAGTGCCAAGCTTTGGAAACCCTGAGACAGATGAGTAAAGGAAACTAGTAGGGAGTGTTAATTATAAAGTGTCACAGAAATGAAAGCCATATAGGAGCTTGTGTGCCAACTTAGAGATCAACAATAGCAGAATGTGCCACCAAAATGAAGTGTAAGATATATATGTAGATAGATAGATAGATATAAGCTAAGATAATTATACTACTATATTGGTATTAGTTCATTGAAAGGAACAGTTAGAGTTTATAATGTTTGAGCAGTCTTACATGCCTATACCTGGTAATCTGAGCAACTACTTTGAAGGTAACAGAAGATAACAATAACCATTGTTAATTTCCTATCATCTTGTTTTGAAATTCTGTATCATTTTTATTATCTTTAAAATAAAAAAAAGATGAATGTGTTACTAACTGGGATACCTGGTAGAGTTGGTAGCACAAACAGGATGCAACCACTGTCATGGACACCTACAGAAACAAGAAAGAGGGCGCTATACCTTGACTTCCCCCTCCTGTGTTGCCATCTTCCAATCTGTGCCTCCTAATAGTGTCCAAACCTAATAGGAAGTGAGCTGACAACAGAGCTTAAGAAATACAATATTGAGAGGCAATCCTCCAACAATATGGGATAGAGCAAAAAAAGAGTGAAGAGATATCTAAGCAAACAGGAAAATCAACACTAAGAGAATGGGAGCTTCAGAGTAAGGTTTATCTAGGTTTGAATCCTAGTTACATGGCTGATTACTAGTTTTGAGACTTAAGAAACCAGCTAACCTCTTCTAAGTCTGATATGACTTACCTATAAAGTAGAATTATCAATACCTACCTCATGAGATTGGTATGAGAGCTGATTACTATAATAGAAAGAATATAGCAATTCACTGACATATGCATTTTCAATGAATGATTGCTCTATACTCTTCACCCTAAGAATTTATGAAAGAAAAATGTTGTTATTGTTAATCTCCTTTGTGCCAGACACAAAGCAGGTACTAAATAGAAGTTCGATTCCTTTTCCACTAACAAGCATGTTTTGATTACTTCAGTCTCACTTCTGTGCCTTCACTCTGATCTTCTCATTTCTCAGTGACACTTGCCTCACTATCACACCCTCCCATTCTCCGGCAGTGTGGCTTCAAAGGGAGAAATAAACTAAATAAATGTGGTTTCTCAAATGAACACTTATAATTCATATGTATTTGCTTTCAAAAGTCAAATAATTGAAATTACTGCTTCAACGGGAGATAACAATGTACTGTTTATTTCCAAAAAGGGTAGAAGTAAGGATTTTTCCCGGCTTTTATTTTTATTAGTAGATGTTTGCAGTACATAATGATTACATTCCATGTGGAGAGTTGGTACATGTGTGTTACACATCGTAATTCTTTTATCCCCTTCTCCCACCTCCTCCCTCCATCTCTTGATCCTCTTCCTATCTGAGAAAGATCTACCTCCCTACTTCCTATTATGTTTTGCTCTTTTTAAAATTTTGCATTGCTCATACAAGAGAACAATGTGATATTTAAGCGTGTATATCTGACCTATTCCACTTAACCTAACGGTTTCAATGGTTTCATTTCCCTACAAATGACTGAAGTTTATCCTTCAGAGGTAGAGAAGCCCTTCACTGTGTGCAAATGCCACATTTCTTCATAGTTTGAATGTTTGTATGACAAAGAAATGATAATCCTTGAGGACATAGCTATGTTTACCTTGATTTGGACATTAAACACGATATACATATATCGAAACATCAACTGGTACCTCCTCAATATGTACAAATTTATGTGCCAGTTTTAAAAAATAAAGTTTTTTAAAAGAGAGGTCACAACAACATATATTGACTTAAACCGGACTGGATGGCTTTAGATGCCTCTCCCAGCTCCTGAGAATCACAATTTGTAGAAATTTCAAATATAAAGGTACTGATGTTTCATAATCTAAAATAGCCTAAACTTCTTTACGTGCAGAATATATCCTTGCATACTGCCTTGTTGGCAGTAACAGTGGAAATTTCCAGGCTCCTCCTTGTAATTGACAAGCTCACTAACAGAAAATATTTTGTACCATGAACTTTCCCGTTTCTGTCATATTCATCCCTTAATTGCTCTGAATTGGTACAGAAAAAGACCAATATCAAAACGTGGCCTTCTTGCTCTTATATAAACCTATGAGACAGAGGATGTGGACTGGTACCTCTATAACCATTTGTTCTTCAGCTATGCTAAACTTGAGGACTCAGTCTTATAAGCATTCTTTTACTCCAAATTCCTATAGCTCTTATATATACTTTCTATGCCATACCATCCCTCTAATTATTGCAAGTATTTATGATTCTTTACATATCTCACTCCCAACCTGCTGCAAAAGTGTGTTTTACTTACCCTTGTAGTGTATGATGCCTAGCATGGCCATAGGCTATGGAAGTCACTTCAATATATAGTGAATGAAAAATTAAGAATGAATGTAACTACTCCCTGGTTAAAATGAAGATTCAAAGAGTGGAGATGGAATATTGAAAGCCTCCGTCACAGAGCCAAAACTCAAGTTTTTACTTCCCCTATTCCTTGCAATGAGTTCAATTAGCTAACTTAAAAATTTAGGAAAATCCCTTCATGATGCCAATATGCCAATATTACTAACTTCAAAAAGAAAGATATTCTTCTTCTTAATTAATTTTAATTTAAATAGCTAAAGCAAATGATTTCTTTTCAGAGACTTCTCCAAAGACACACCAGACACAGTAATTATTCCAGTTGGAACAAGGAGAAATGGAAAGTGAACTTTATGCTTAGGTTTGTATTTATATATTTATAAATACTCTTTACCAATGACTCATCCATTTGCTTCCTAGAAGAAGGTAAAATACTCCAGCTCCTTAGGATGAGAGCAGAGGTCAAATTACTGTACAGAGGAAAAATGATGATGTTCAAGTCTGTAGGTCAGGATAAAAACAGGACAGATTCAGGAGAATCTATTCAAAAAAAATGAAAATTATTTCCTTACCCCGCGGTACTGGCTTTCATTGAAAATCTGAGGGGGCAAAGGATACCCTGTGGCTGGTCGACTGTTTTCAGGTACATTTTCTCTCATCCACTTCCGATTCTCTTCGTTGGCTGCAATATCCTTTTCTTCAAATCCTATTTTGTTGGCTTCTAAGAAACCAAGTACATCTTGTTGTTTCTTCTTAATCTAAGAAGGACCCAAAGGACAAGAAATCATCTTGCTGAGCAAATAGTTTTGTATTTTTTATTTTTCAGACTCAGCAAAAGTCAATGTTGTGAGCTAGCAGAAATAAATGTGTAAAAATATATAGTTCCAAAACAGATATGATTTTAATTCTTTTTTTATTTTAAAAAAATTTTAAAAAGGAAAACATGTTAACATCCATTTATAAAATAGCATGAGAATACAAGCAAAACTGAGTTACAGACAAAGTTGTAGGAAATTAACCATGGTTGTTGTATTACTTATTGATATCTTCAAAGTGGTTTCTCAGGAAAACAAATAAAGACATACAAGATTGATCAAATAAGTAATCATTAACTCTTCCTTTCTGTAGAGCAATAGAAGACAGTAGTACAACTATGTTAGCTATCCTGTATATACATACTTACATCATTTCCCCTTCTTTTGCTTCTCTTTTCCCACACCCCAGTTGCCCTTTACTTTTGGGCATTTTCCTTTCATTTATTTCACAATGTCTGTCATACCTCCTAGTTTTTATTCGCTCTTTCAGGTCTTACACTAGTAAGACAATATGATGCTTATCCATGCAGGTCTGCTTTATTTCACTTATGAGTATGGTCTTTAGTTGTGACCATTTTGCTAATGATACTTCACAAGTGAGCTGAAGAACAGCGTATAGATTCTTTCTATCATTTTTTCTTTTTTCTATTGAAACTACCTTTCCAAGTAATGCTGAAGCAAGATTAACTGATGCATAAATAACAGAGAAGTGTACTAATTCAAAAGTATGTGAAGAGGAAGCTATGATGATTTATGAGCCTCAGTTCTGGCCCTTGTTCAAAGTCTTTCCAAATGACTTCGCATTTTAACAAGCAGCTTAAAGTCATCAGAAATGAATTTTTGCTTGAGAGCAGCATAAAACTCAAAGTCACTTAGGTCTCAGTTTTCATTGTTCAGAACAAAAACTGAATGAGAAGACTAAGCTTGCGTGTATGCCAAACTTGGAACATATCTGTACCACTCATTAGCCTTTAACAAGTGGTTCTAAGGCATGTTATGGGTGCCTGTACTACCTTTGTTCCTAGATTAATATTATACCTGGGAGACAGATTTGAAAATATTAAAAGTGATATGATTTTCCTTCACATATGTATGTGGTTGATAACCTGAGTTCACACATCTATACATAGTAACTTACCCATATTTAAACCATTGCTTCATATTTCTGAGCTGAAAAGAACAATCAGTAAGCAAGTTTATTCATGGAGTATCAAAATATATATAAAGAAGCAGGCCTGCCAATGGGAATCTAAATTCAAAAATGAAAATCACAGTCAAGCTCCTTCTAGATTTATACTTCCAATCCTCCAACACACACATGTGCATACATGTACTATTATGGCTTGTATCTACATGTTCCCTCCAAGCCTCATGCAGTCATAGGTGGGGCTTTTCAGACGTGGCTGGATGTAAGGTATATGATACTGGGATTAAGTATGTTACTCTGGAATTAAGGTACCCAACCCTGGGTGTGGGTGGCACGACCCAAAAGGCAGGTACCTGGAAGGGATAAAAGGAAGGCGCAGGCTGCCGCTTTGCTGCTTTCTGACTGCCCTGTTTTGCCAGGGACTGACTGCTTCTCCTCTGCAATGCCCTTCTGCCATGCCACCCTGCCTCGGACCCAGCCAGCTATGGACTGAAATCTCTACAGACTGTGAGCCAAAATAAACCTTTCCTGCTTTAACTTTGGGTATTGACTATTAGATATTTTGTCTCAGCAATGAGAAAAGTAACTAAGATATACACAGAGGCTGTATTTTTTCCAAGTTGATTATGCCTGTGGCTAAAAAGTCTTGTACTCATCACATAATCCCAGGAAAACAGTCTCAATTTCTTCCAACACAAAGAAATTTCTAAAAGCTATTTAGGTCAGAGAACTGTGTCCTTTAAAGACCAGTTATAATCGAGCATAATTTGCTACAAGATAATTTTTCAAAAGGGAATACTATTTCTTCATTGGCATGTAGTATTAAACTTTACTCCCCAGATACAATATATTTTTTTCAGAATGTTGAAGAAAATCAATGTGAAATTCAATACATAAGAGTTTCTAATGCAATTAATAGAAGGTTCAAATAAATGTTTTTTTTTCAACCTTTATAACAGAATTAGGTAAATATGAAGTGTGGCAAGTAATTTGTTAATCATAAACACATTTTCAAATCTGAGTAGATTTACAGATATTCCATTAATAGGGGACTTTCAGGAACCCAGTTTTCCAACAGATTTTTTTTAAGTTAATGAAGAGTTACCAAATCTAATATGCCAAGAATTACACATGATCATGGGAGAATATCACCTGTTACATTTGTGTGAACAAAAGGCAGAGGGCCTTTATAAGAAATGGCACATTGCAGCTTTTTCCACATTACTGAATACAATTTTTGCTATGTTGAGAACACTATGTTGAGTTTAAATGCCCTGGACTGGTATCACTGGGCATGGCAGTATAATTTTGCTGATAATCTTTACCCTCCGGCCTTCAGCTATGGACCACAAGTATTTTTCCTTGCTGTGAGAACTGCCCAAAAAGAAGCGCATGCTTCCTAGAGTTTTCTACATCTCTATAAGACTATACACTATAGGTTATAATAATATTTTTCTAACATCTTCTGTTAGGTCAATCATAGATATTGTTAAGCTTTGAATATTCAGGAAATGTAAAATTTTGTTTCTTAATTTGATTGTGTATGTAAGTCCTAAACTCCATGTATTAAGTTATTTCAAAGATAGAATATTTTATACAGTTATTGCTTTACTTATGTATACAGACACATATTCTCTACCATGAACCCTGACAAGAAACATCTGATTATATTCATTGTTCAGTTTCCCTACGGGAGCTTAATGTGAAGCAACACAGTGACAGACGTAACTGAAAGTATCAAAAGAATAAATAAGAAATATATGCCATAATTGTTCAGTAAAGAGTAGAATTTTAAATTCCTACAAAAATGATGGAGTTAAAAAATTACTGATAACCTTTTTGACACACATGCATGTGAACAATGTCAGTGTATGGGACTCTAACTCAGTTATTTACAAAGACTAAACCACACCCCCTACTTTGAACCAAAGAATGACAAGTCACGTCAAAAGTTTGAGATTCAAGATATTCTTCCCACCAAAGATAGAGAGCAGAGATATTGAACAAATGTTGCCTGGATCGCACAAGCTTCAGTACAGTTCTTGTCTGTCATGGCAAGAGTCAAGGGTTTGGTTTTTTTTTTTGGAAAGAAAGGAGATTAACATGATTCCTGTTTTAGAAGATGCCAACATGAATGGTGCAATATTAAAGGAAGAAGAAAACTTGACTAGTGATACTTCAAATGGGAAAACACAAGATCATCATGATAGAAACGTGCTGACCTACCCACTTAATCAAGGTGCAGGTTTTGCTTTCTTTCATAGTCAACCTCCGTCACATTTTTTCTGATATGCTAATGAACAGTGGTAGAGGTTATGACTACAAGGAGCTAAAATCTAAAAGATAATCAGAAATTGTTCTTAGTATTACCTAACAGTATTTCTGGAATGCTTCTTTATCAGCGAAGAGCTCCCAAGCTTTTGGTGGAGAGTGGGAAAGTCCTTGTGTGGGTGCCGAATTCTGTGATGTTTGGAGATAAGGTAGCAAGAGGGATCCCACACAGGTACAGAACTGGGTGACATTTGGGAGAGCTGTGTGAGGGTGCCTACTCTGGCACAGCTCGTATCTTTTCTCCATCCTTCAATCACACTGGGCACAGCCACTGCATACCACTGACACTACCACTGTCCCACAGATCCCTCAATACCTGGTTCGGGTTTCCTAGGCAGGACCGTGCCCTTTATTCCTCTTTGTCCCTAGGGCTCACTAGTCTTAACTCAGTCACTGCTCTCTAAGAGATTCGCTGGCTTATATTTCCCTTAGTACTCCGCTCTGAGGAGGCTCTCTCTTTTAAGGATCTCCCTGATTGGGCTCTGTCTCCCAGTGGGACGAGAGGACAAGTAGGCAGTGGGAGGAGCCTGCTAGGCTCAGTGGCAATCACAGCCTGGCAGCCGCGGCTGCACTTCTCTTCGTCCCTCGTACTGTTAGATCTTTTCCCGAAATGGAGTGTTCACCAGGACTGCACTGCAAGCAGCGCTGGGATTAAGAGGCAACCCCGGCTCTTTTTTTTTTTGAACACCCCTGGTACTGGGATTGACGCTGGAACTAGTCTGTTGCGCTGCATCTTTGTTTTTTTTTTTTTTTATTATTATTTTAAGGATAAAAGGAGGGAAACATTAACAGACATACAACATTTTACAACATATCACAAGCACAATACAGACAATACAGAGTTACAAACAAAGTGGTAGGGAATTAACAATGGTGGTTGTATTACATATTGATATCTTCAAAGTGGCTTCTCATGAAAACAGATTGCCTTCCTGTTTAGGTTTCTGTTTGCCCCCACCGATTTCCTAGCACCTGCGGCTCTTGGTGAGCATCTTCCAAGTGTCTCCTGAGCGCTGCTGCCTCTAGTCCACCATGAGGATTCTCCCTCCCAAGCACATTTTTAAGTGAATATTGCCATGAGTCCTTAAACCACCAACTTCCTATTGCTAATCTAAGGGCGCAACCACAATAAGAGGCACTTGTTTTTAGCTTTGTTTTGCAATATTTTCAAAAGTGGTTTTCAACCATATAAAATCTGTAATTCATATTACTTTACTGATAAGTTTGCATTAAGAGGACTATTAAGAGTTTTTCCTACTCATCTCCTCAAGCCACTCCTGGATCCCCTGGAGTTCTCCTAACATGCTAAATTGTGGTAGCATGAGAACACGACTGCTAATTCTACTACTCTAAAAAGAAAACAAAAGCTCTGCCATTGTTGTCTATTTCATTATACATCTGCCATAATCATATCAGCAGTACTACTTCTAAAGTGATATCAAGGCCTTCATAACTTCAAAAATAG